CCTATCTCCCACTCACCACCTTCTGTCAACCCAGTTTGTTATCTATCAAGAGTCTCTTGTGGTTTGTTTCCATCTCTTCTCTCCCCCACCCCTTCCAATATGTTCATCTGTTTTGTTTCTCAAATTCCACACCTAAGTGAAATCATATGGTATTTGTCTTTCCCTGGGTGACTTATTTCACTGAGCATAATATATTCTAGCTTCATGTCATTGCAAATGGCAAGATTTCATTCTTTTTGATGGCTAATATTTCATTGTATATATATGTGTGTGTGTGTGTGTGTGTGTGTGTGTGTGTATACACACATATATAATATTCCCTTATATGTGTATGTATTCCATATATGTTTGTGTGTATACACACATACCACATCTTTATCCATTCATCAATTGATAGATATTTGGGCTCTCTGCATAGTTTGGCAATTGTTGATAAATGCTGCTATAAACATTCAGGTGCATGTACCCCTTCGAATCTGTATTTTTGTATCCCACACTGGTGGCTGCACCAGTTTGTATTCCCGCCAGCAGTGCAAGAGGGTTCCCCTTTCTCTGCATCCTCACCACCACCTGTTGTTTATTGTGTTGTTAATTTTAGCCATTCTTACAGGTGTAAGGTGATATCACACTGTGGTTTTGATTTGTATTTCCCTGATGATGAGTGATGTTGAGCATCTTTTCAAGTGTCTGTTAACCATCTGGATGTCTTCTTTGGAAAAATGACTGTGCATGTCTTCTGTCCATTTCTTCACTGGATTATTTGTTTTTTGGGTGTTGAGTTTGATCAGTTATTTACAGATTTTGGATCCTAACCCTTTACCTGATATGACATTTGCAAGTATCTTCTCCCATTCCATCAGTTGCCTTTTAGTTTTGCTGATTGATTCCTTCACTGTGCAGAAGCTTTTTATCTTGATAAGGTCCCAATAGTTCATTTTTGCTTATGTTTCGCTTGCCTTTGGTGACATGTCTAGTAAGAAGTTGCTACAGCTGAGGCTGAAGAGGTTTCTGCTGGTGTTCTTCTCTAGGATTTTGGTGGTTTCCTATCTCACATTAGGTCTTTCATGCAGTTTGAATTTATTTTTGTGTATGGTGTAAGAAAATGGTCCAGTTTTCCCAACACCATTTGTTGTAGAGACTGTCTCTTTTTCCATTGCATATTCTTTCCTGCTTTGTCAAAGATTAGTTGACCATGTAGTTGTGGGTCCATTTCTGGGTTTTCTGTTCTGTTCCATTGATCTGTGTCTGTTTTTGTGCTAGTACTATACTGTCTTTGCAATAGCTTTTTAATACAGCTTGAAATCTGGATTCGTGATGCCTCCAGTTTTAATTTTCTTTTTCAGGATTGCTTTGACTCTTTAGGGTCTTTTTTGGTTTCATACAGATTTTAAGATTGTTTGCTCTAGCTCTGTGAAAAATGCTGGTGGTAGTTTGATAGGAATTGCATTAAATGTGTAGATTACTTTGGGTAGTGTAGACATTTTAACAATGCTTTTTCTTCTAGTTCATGAACATGGAATGCTTTTCCATTTCTTTGTGTCCTCTTCAATTTATTTTAAAATTGTTCTATAATTTTCAGAGTATAGATCTTTTACCTCGTTAATTTATTCCTAGGTATCTTTTTGTGTCTGATGCAATTGCAAATGGGATCGATTCCTTGATTTTTTTTTTTTCTGCTGCATCATTATTGGCATACAGAAATGCAACAGATATCTGCACATTGATTTTATATCCTGAGATGTTGCTGAATTCATGTGTTGGTTATAGCAATGTTTTGGTAGAATCTTTTGGGTTTTCTCCATCGAGTGTCATGTTGTCTGTGAAGAGTGAAGTTTGACTTCTTTCTTGCTGATTTGGATACATTTTCTTTTTGTTGTCTGATTGCTGAGGCTAAGACTTCCAATACTATGTTAAATAGTAATGGTGAGAGTGGACATCTATGTCTTATTTCTGACTGTAGGAGAAAGGTTCTCAGTTTTTCCCCATTGAGGATGATATTAGCTATGGGTCTTTCGTATATGGCTTTTATTGTGTTGAGGTATGTTCCATTTATCCAAACTTTATGGACGTTTTTATTAAAAATGGATGCTTTATTTTGTCAGATGCTTTTTCTGCATCTATTGACGGGATCTTATAGTTTTCATCCTTCCTTTTATTAATGTGGTGTATCACAGTGATTAATTTGTGGATATTGAACCACCCCAGCAACCCAGGAATAAATCCCACTTGATCATGGTGAATAATTCTTTTCATGTACTGTTGATTTTGATTTGCTAATACATTCATGTTCATCAGGGATATTGGCCTGTAATTCTTTTTAGCAGGGTCTTTGTCCAGTTTGGGAATCGAAGTAATGCTGGCTTCATAGAATGAGTTTGGAAGTTACCCTTCTATTTCTATTTTTTAGAACAGTTTGAGACGAATAGTTATTAACCATGCTTTAAATGTTTGGTAGAGGGGCGCCTGGGTGGCTCAGTTGGTTGAGCATCCGACTTCGGCTCAGATCATGATCTCACGGTCTGTGAGTTTGAGCCCCGCATCGGGCTCTGTGCTGACAGCTCAGAGCCTGGAACCTGCTTCAGATTCTGTGTGTCTGTCTCTCTCTGCCCCTCCCCTGCTCATGCTCTGTCTCTCTCTGTGTCAAAAATAAATAAACAATAAAAAAAAAATATTTGGTAGAATTTCTCTGGGAAGCCATCTGGCCCAGGACTCTTGTTTGTTGGGAGATTTTTGATTACTGATTGAATTTCTTTGCTGGTTATGGGCCTATTCAAATTTCTTTCTGCTTTAGTTTTGGTAGTTTGTGAATTTCTAGGAATTTTTCCATTTCTTCCAGATTGCCTATTTTGTTAAAATGTAATTTTTCATTGTATTCTCTTATGATCATTTGTATTTCTTTGGTGTTGGTTGTGATCTCTCCTCTTTCATTTGTGATTTTATCTATTTGAGTCCTTTCTCTTTTTGATAAGTCTGGGTAGGGGTTTATCAATTTTGTTAACTCTTTCAGAGAACCAGCTTTTGGTTTTGTTGATCTTTTCTACTGTTTTGTTTGTTTGTTTTTATATATTTTATTTCTGCTCTAATCTTTATTATCTCCCTTCTGCTGACTTTAGGCTTTATTTGCTGTTTTCTAGCTCCTTTAGGTGTGAGGATAGGTTGTGTAGTTGGAAATCTGCCTTTTTTTTTTTTAAGTAAAGTTTATTTATTTCAAGAGAGAGAATATGTAAACAGGGGAGGGGCAGAGAGAGAGGGAGAGAGAATCCCAAGCAGGCTCTGTGCTGTCCATAAGGAGCCCAATGCAGGTCTCATTCTCAGGACCTGAGCTGGAATCAAAAGTCAGACTCTTAACTATCTGTGCCATCTGTGTGCCCCTGGAAATCTACCCTTGTAATCCTTTTAGTAAGTTTTCCATTTCAGTTATTATACTTTTCATTTACAGAATTTCTTTTTCATTTATTTTTAGGCTTTCTGTCTCTTTATTGATATTTCCATTTTGTTCATAAATTGTTTCTTGTCTTTTCCCACAATCTCTATTAGTTCATTGAACATTTAAAGAATAATTCTTTGTCTTGTAGATCTGCCATCAGGTTTTCTGGGACAGTTTCTGTTAAATTTTTTTTCTCTTTTAATGGACCATACTTTCCTTTTCCTATTTCTTGTGGGGTTTTTGTCAAAAACTGGACATTTGAGTTTAATAATGTAATAACTTCAGAAATGAGATTTTCTCCATTCCCAGCATTTGCTGTTTTATTACTGTTTTTGTTTGTTTGTTGTTTTTTATTATAGTGTGCTATCTCTCTGCTAAGGATCAGACTGAGGTATAAACTTGCAGTGTTCTCATATGTTTTCTAAGCCTTTCCCTGGGCAAGGGTGGCCACTTTCTAATTTTTCTTGTATAAGCACTTATGTTTTGAATGTCTATATCTTTAATGTCTGGCTCCCAAAAGAGGACAAAGAGAAAAATGAAGGTGGAAATAAATGACAATGGTCTTTTAAGTACTGGAAGTCATTTCAGGCCAAGTGGGGGGGTCACATATAGCAGGGTTCTTACACAGAGAAATGGAACTCTGAGGTTCCTCTTTCTAGGAAGCAGCTTTATTTGTGCCACCTGGGCTCAGCGGGTTAAGATCCCAAAAAGGCTGAGTCCCAAGTGCAGCAGGGTATAGCCTTTTATGCAACTTCTACTTCTTTGTCTCCCATATGTGGTGACACAAATAGTCTGATTGGACACATTTCAAGTTACAGAGTCATGTCAGAACTATACATACCTGTATAGGAGTTGATTGGGTCACATTGCCTTCCTTTGTTCTGAGAAGCCTCCACTAAATTCTTTAGGGAGGGTCCTTACCACACACCTACCTCTTTGTACTTCTGTGATCAGAAGCAGTAATTCCCAGTCAGAGTATGGATTCCCAATATTTGGAGGACATGGTTTGTTTTGGCTATCCTGGTTCTTACTGACTACGTAAGCCACTGCAGGAATATGTGCACAACTGCCTGCCATGTGGCTTGGTTGGAGGTTGGGTAGTTTTGACTGCTGAGAAATGAAATTAACAGAAATTGATGGTGATTTACCTGTGCTAGCCTTTCCCTGGAATTTACAAGCCTTTAGTAGAATCCATAGTTCTAAAATAATTGTATTAAACAAAATCTGCCAGTGCAGTTTTTTTCTAGGTGGAGAGACACATTTCTGTTGCTTTGGACTGTGCCACCAGTGCTGAAATCTCTTACATGGGTTTACTTAAACATGTAGCATTATTGCATGTGTTCTTATGATACTTACAGAGTACATGGAATTGCTTTATACATTTACTATTGACATTCTTATAGGAGTGTGTGTACGTCTCTGTATGTAGTCTTTGTATACCCTGTGGTCATACAAACTTGTATATAGTTTCATATATTCTTCACATCTACCTGAATTTTGTATTAATAGAAACCATAGCTAACACTAGAAGATAAAAATAAACATACGAACTTACATTTTTTTCTTTATATAGGCAGTGTTCAGAATGTGACCAGGCAGGGAGCAGTGACATGGAAGCAGACATGGCCATGGAAACCTTACCAGATGGTACCAAACGATCAAGGAGGCAGATTAAGGAACCAGTGAAATTTGTTCCACAGGACATGCCCCCAGAACCCAAGAAGATTCCAATAAGAAATACGGTAATTTTTTCCCTGTTTATCATAATCATCACAAACTTCTGAGGGCAAAATTCTGAGGCCAGTTTGTTGTTTTACATTATGAAATATACCATACATAACTGAGAATTTATGCTTTATATATTCAACTTAAAGCATAATAATAATGAATACCCACTGTATCCACTGACCTGCTTCAAAAATAAACAGTAACAAAGCCTGATGTCCCCTGTGAATCCCTTGGTAATTTCATTCTTACCTGGCTAGCACAGAGATCACCTCCTTCCTCAACTTTGTATTTCTCACTCTTTTCTTTTTTTTTTAGTAATGACTTTCCAAATGTGTGTATTTGTAAATAATACATAGTTTTGCAGTTTTTAAATTTTGTATGAATGGAATCAGGCTTTTCCTTTTGGTATTTGTTAATTTGGCCAGTTTTTTTTTTTTGTTTTTTTTTTTTAAGTTTATTATTTTGAGAGAGAGAGCTTGAGCAGGGGAGAGGCAGAGAGAGAGGGGGAGAAACAATCTGAAGCAGGCTCTGTGCTGTCAGCACAGAGCCCAATGAGGGGCTTGAACTAACGAACCATGAGCTCATGACCCGAGCAGAAATCAAGAGTCAGATGTGCAACCAACTGAGCCTCCCAGGTGCTCCTAACCAAATTTTGTTGATGAGATTCATAAATACTGATCTGTGTAGTTACAGTTCATTTATTTTTACTAATGTGTAGTATTTTTTATTAAAACAATAGATCATATGTTTTGTTCTTTAGATTGGCAATTTTGTTTCTATCTTTTTTCTTTTGTAAACAACTCTGTTTTGAATATTTTTGTAAATGTCTCTTGCAGCATGGTAACAAGGAGTTAGGATATATACCAAGGTGTTCATTTGCTTAGTTATCGGATATGTGCGTCTTCAGTTTTGCTAGTTAATTCCACTGTGTTTTAAACCAGTTTATATTCATAGCAATGAATAATCTTACTATTGTTCCCTAAACTTATTTTGTGTAATATTTTAATGCTTTCCAATGCAATACATGTAAAATAGTATATCATTTTATTTTGTATTTGTCTCAATACTAATGACTTTGAGTATCTATGTATTTTATCTATTAGGAAATGTAAATGCAAGTCTTCTCCGATTTTTCTATGAGGTTGTTAGTCTATTTCTCATCACAAAATTTTTGAGGTTAGAGTTCAAAGAATTTCTTCCAGAAAGTATTTATGTTTGTTATTACCAGGTGCTGGTGAGGTGTACTAACCTAAGACCATTTTATTATTTTATTTATTTTTAAATGTTTGTTTATTATGTATTTTAAGAGAGAGAAAGAGAGTTAGTGGGGAGAGGGGCAGAGAGATAGGAGAGCGAAAATCCCAAGTATTATGCTCCATGCTGTCAGTGCAGAGCCCATCATGGGGCTCAATCTCATGAACTCTGAGATCATGACCTGAGCCAAAATCAAGAGTCAGCTGCTTAACCGACTGAGCCACCCATGCACCCCTAACCTAAGACCATTTTAAATAAGTTTGGTGTGTGTGTCTTTTTCCATTATATAAATAGTGTCAATTTCTGCCCCAATCCAGTGAAGGCTGGCTTGCAGTTATGAATTCCTGGGGAGACATTTTTTACTTTCTGACTGTGAACCAAGGCAGACACTTTTGAAAAATCTGCCTCCTCCTGAAGGAGATGTAGATTTTTTTTTTTTTTTTTTAAGTAGGCTTTATGCCCAGCACAGAGTCCAGTGGCTGGGCTTGAGCTCACGACCCTGAGATCAAGACCTGAGCTGAGGTGAAGAGTCGGATGCTTAACAGACTGAGCCACCCAGGCATCCCAAGATGTAGCTGTTTTTAGGGTTAGTTGTCATCCTTTGTTTTGTTACCTGTTTAGTTGTAGAGAGTTTTTTCTTTTTTCCTTAAAGTAACAGCTTTCTCAAAAATTTTCTTTAATCTGTAATAACACATTTAATCTAATCATAAGAGAAGTTACTTCGAGTATTTCATTCAGTTTGTGTTATGAGCTTATTTGATATTGAGGAAACAGATGTGGACATTGTCTCCCAGATAATTTAAATAGTTGTGTTTCAGTGCTGTTAATCAACTTGAAATTGTTTTATTTATAATTCCCATTAGTTTAAAACAATTTTTTTTGGCCTCACAAATACATTTTGTTTACAAATGAACTAGAGAGAATTTTCCTTCAAGCCTGCTCACTTCTTCCTTCCTTCCTTCTTCCTTTCTTTCTCTTTCTTTCTTTCTTTCTTTCTTAAAATTTTTTTAATGTTTATTTTTTTTAAAGAGAGAGAGCACGAGTGGGGCAGAGGTAGAGAGAGAGGGAGACACAGAATCTGAAGCAGGATCCAGGCTCTGAGCTGTCAGCACAGAGCCCGACACAGGGCCCAAACCCACAAACTGTGAGATCATGACCTGAGCCGAAGTCAGATACTTAACCGACAGAGCCACCCAGGCGCCCTAAGCCTGCTCATTTCTAATACATTTTCTGTAACTTCAATGCCAATAACTTCAATGTGGCTATTAAGATATTCGAGTAAAGCATGTGTCTGTGTTTGCAAAGATTATCCTTTTATGAAACATCGTTTTCTTTACTGTTTAAAGAAATCTTTAGGACCAGTGTTATCATCTTTAACCAGAGACGGAAATTTTGTACATATTATAGTGATATTTATGTGTCCATAGTTTAGTATTATTTCAGATAAAAGAGGATCATATTTTCTTTTAGTTTACTTGTTTGTTCTTACAGCCTGGAATTATAAGGAAGCTTTTGAATTTTCTAATTTATTCCAATTCCTTTTACTGTATTATTTGTCTCTTGTTTTCTTGTGTAAAAGTCTTAGTCTTCTTGTAGATATGTGTGGGTAAAACACAAGAAAGGATTCTATGGCCAGTAATTTTAGGAAATACAGTATGATTACTTTCTTTCTTGGGGGAATTCAGATGTATACTCAAGGTCTGAGAAACACTACTGTTTAGAATAATGATTACTTTAACTTTTTCCTAACCTATTTTATCAAAGAGCACTTTTTTCAAGACCATTTTTTATTGTATCATATAGTGCTGAGTGGTACCAGCTTTGGAAATGATGTTCTAGAGGCCACGAATTACTTGCATAAAGGTCATCTGTGGGGTGTTTGTTGGAATGTAGGTTTGGACTCATCCAAGAACTAATAACTTAGAATTAGGGTTGGTTTAAGCAGACTTTTTAGGTTTTATTCTTATGCAGACTGAAGTTAGAAAATAACTATCTGGATAATGTTTATCATTATTACTCTTACTTTTTTCTTCCCTTCCTTCCCCCCTGATTAATCCATACAGCAATTCAGAAAATCTTTGATGAGGCTATTCTATTGGTCAAGTACCTGATCGAGGAATGTAAGAATGAGAGACGCAGAGGAGAGTGATTCAGTCATCTTGATTTTGATCTTACCATTTAGGCTGAGTTCCTATTGTTACTTTAACTTTTTATCTTATCAGTTCTGTTTCAGAGATATATTAACATTTTAATTAGATGGTATGGTTAAAAATGAGGCAGCTTACTTTCTTTTCTTAGCACACTGTTAATTATGGGAATCTAGGTATCTAACTGCCACCTCATTTGTATGTATAACCAAGTATCTTTCACAGTAAATAACTGATTTATCTCTCCTTTTAATTTTCAATTCTTGTTCCTAGTATTTTTCTACTTATATTTTGGTACATGTATTTTGGTACATCTACTTATATTTTGGTACATGTACTTTTTATTTTGGTACATGTATTACTACACTTATTAGCCACCCAGGTGCCCCACATTGAACTTCCTATTACAGAGGTATTGTGATATTGAACAAATTACCTAACCCTAACCCGAGTTCCCCAGCTGAGCTGCTGTATGAATTTCCTATAGGTGCTATAACAATTACCATGATTTTGGTGGCTTAAAATAACACAGATTTATTATCTTAACAGTTCTAGAGGCCAGAAGTCTCCAGTCAGTTTTATTAGGCTAAAGTCAAGGTGTTGACAGGACTGGTCTTTTAGAGGTTGTTAGGGATTATCCATTTCCTTGTCTTTTCTAGCTTCTAGAGGCCACCTATATTCCTTGGCTCAAGCCTCTTCTCCACTTTTACCTCATTTCCAAACTCACATATGCTTCCTCTCTGATCTTCCATTTCCCTCTTATAAGAACCTCTGTGATTCAGGCCCACCTGAATTCATCTCAAAATCCTTGGCTAAATTACATATACAAAGTCTCTTTTTGTTACCAAGTATCATTTACAAGTTCCGAGGATTAGGATATGGATATTGTGGAGACCAGTATTCAGCCTATTACAGTTGCTTTGAAAATTAAATTAGATAATTTACATAAAGTACCGATCATGATGTCTGGGACATAGTAACATCAATTTATGTTCATTTTCTTCTCCCTCCTTCCTCATCCTATTAACTAGATTGTGTGATTTTGATTAAAATACCTGGGCCTTTGCTGCCCCATCTGTAAAACTAGATATAATACGCATAAGATTCTCAGTAACAAAGTCTATTGAGGGGATGCCTGAGTGGTTCAGTCAGTTAAGTGTCTGACTTCTGCTCAGGTTGTGATTAGTGATTCATGAATTGGAGACCCGCATCAGGCTCTTTGCTGACAGCTCGGAGCCTGGAGCCTGCTTTGGATTCTGTCTCTCCCTTTCTCTCTGACCCTCCCCTGCTTGTGCTTTTCTCTGTCTCTCTCTCTCTCTCTCAAAAATAAATAAATATTAAAAAAATTAAAAAAAATTTTCTTTTGTTAGTTTTAATTTTTCTTGCCATTATTGATCAAAGTGTACTTCATTTCACAGTAGTCATATTACTCTATCAAAATTTTGAGGAAGATTTACCTTTGTGACATAGGGAATTCATGACATATATCCTAGGCCTTAATTTCTCATTTCAAAATAATGTATCACTTAATAAAACTATTAAAATGATCATTTGTTTTACAACTTTGATTTGTTCTACAACTTTCTACCATTTCTGTTAAGCATATGTTCCCT